TGTCCCCTGCTGTTTCTTCTACCCTCATTTCTTCCTTTGTTTCATTATCCCAGCATTAATAAACATACCGTCAAACCCATCTGGACCTGTGTTGTGAAATCTTTCCTACAGGAAGTCAAGAACCCATATACTACAGGCCAGCCTGAGGCTGATCTGATCAGGGCCAGCCCCTGTCAGGTAACATGTTAAATCACCAGATTTGTGGTCATTTGTTACAAAACAGCCCTCACCACGCCTATATGTGTTTCCTTCATAGTATGCATTACAACTTGCAATTATTATAGGTACTGGTTTTTGGCTTTATTAAATGTAACTTTCCTAAGAGAATGTATGATTTATGAAGCTAAGATTCTATACCTTATTTATTCTCACTGAGCAGTGTATGATGTTTAGCAGGGTCACAATACATATTTTTAAGTGAATTAAGATGAATAAAATTTAAGATTGTATTCAGTTGTTCTAGCATCCATTGAATTTATGAGAACAAAATAGCCCAGGATTTTTATTCTACACAAAAGCTATTGCCAAACCTGCTCATCTAACACTGTTTACTACCCACCTTGTGCAGATATTAATTTTGTTTACCCCAATGAGTCACTCACATATCTGCATTCTTGGGTTGTCGATAAACATATTGAGGGACAAGGACAATGCCTTATTCTTGTTTGAATACCTAGATCGTAATTCAGTGTCTGACATTTATTAAATGCTCTATAAATATGTATTTAATGAATAAAATAAATGGAAGAAAGTAAAGTATTATGATTAAATTTTTAATTCATATTTATCATTTCTACAAATATCTCCACAGTTTAATCTTAAATTTTAAATTAATTTATCTATTTATCAGATATTTTTCTAAACTGTTTTTCATGCTCAAGTTTGCTATGTTTACATTTGTCCTTCTGTCACTCTAAAGCATTTGTATTTTACAATATACACTGATTACCCTCTAGATAGAAATCATTGTTTTAGGTGATGTATGGACTCAGAAATGAAGAATATGGGAAAGTCATTCTTTCCTGGGGACTCATTTTGTAGCAAAGAGAGACAGACAATAAATAAACAAACAGGAAATATTAGTTAGTAATAAGTCCTACTTGAAGAAACCAGTTTACCTAGATAACTTTGTACATTGCTCTTTAAAAAGCATTATCTTTTTAGGATGAAATACCTTTTCCTTCCCACCCTCACCCTTCTTTTCTACTATTTGCACATGAAATAGCTTAGGTTTTGGAATTGGAAGAGTAACTTTAAATTTGATTTCTACCAGATATTAACAATGCAACTTCTTGCAAGAATTTTAATCTAGAGCTTTAATCCATCTGTAAAATGAGATATAAAACTAACATTTCTTCACACGGATGTTAAGTAAACAATGTTCTATTGTTGTAAAGCATCCGCAGCACTGCCAGAACTTAGTAAATTCCTCTTAAATACAGTCCCTTTCTTTTTTCACCTGCACATTGAAAACCTTGCCATTCTTTAAAGCCCAGAACACTCTTAAAACCATCCCTTTCTCCAATTCAAATCTGGCATTGCAGATTTGTCCTGCCATTTAGTGGACTCGCTACTCTCTTCTATTGTCATGCTTTTTACTTAGGCTTATGCTTTTGACCCCTAGATTTTGTTAAGCTTTTTGAAATCAGACCCTGAATATTCCCTCCCTTGTCTTCTTCTAGGACTTGGCACAATGCTCAGGATGAAAGTCGCTTTGATACTAGCCAGGGCTAGCCCAGGGATGAGAAGAACTGGATTCGCACTCAGGCTCATCTTGTCGGATGGAGTTAGGCACTTCCATGGGACTGCGAGCAAAGCATTTCAAGGGTCCTTGCAGGGGAGACTGTGGTGTGGCTAGGTTTATTTGTGATGGAAAATCAAAGGAGTTCTCCTCCTGACTTCCAAATGTCCCCTCTCCAACCACCTTGCCATGGAAAAAGTACAATCGTGTCTTCAGCAGGACCAAAACAAAAAGCCAGTGTTAAAAGTTTCTGCTTCATTTTAAAGCTTAGTCTCTTTGGAACCTGTCTGGCCTGAGGCCACAGTAGCTGCTAGACCCCCATGGTCTCAAGCTCCCCGGGGGGGAGAGAGCCGGCTAAAAAATGAACACTTGTAGGTCATCAGGTGAGAGAGAACTCCTTTGTTTATCTGAGCTTATGTATTCTCAGGTTTGGGAGGAACCAGGTTTTTCAAAATAACCAACCAACTTCCTAAACTTTCCCAGGCTTCTGATGGGGTCCAACCCTTTGCCAATTTATTATTTCCCCAAGCTAGACTGACAGACCTGCCTGTACCATCAAGCACCTCCCCCAC